TAAAAATATATTTTTATCAACTATTTTTGTTACTTCATATTTCCAAATTATAAAAAATTCACTTGTTGATGAATATATTATCTAAAATCCATAAAATCAATGTTGGTTTTTTATTTTTATAACAATTGAAATGTCAAATTTGTTCTATTTTGAAAAAAAAATATACAAGGATTATAATTATATTGTTTATTATTAAACAATAATTTTAAACTAACAAACTACTTTTTCAAATAAACAAGAAACTGACTTTAAAATTAATTTATTTTATTCAGAACCAAATACGAAACTAAATATTTAGTTTTCATTATATCAATAATTGTAATTGTCATAAACCAAAATAATGGGTTTTAGTATCATTATGTGTTTTATTGAGAAAATTGTTAATTTATTTTAACACCAATAAGTAACAGTAGTTCGACTTTAAAAGTAAAATATTTTTTTATTATAACACATTTTTATATTCAAACTCTTTAAAATAATATTTGTGTGTTTTATTGGTGCTATAAAATTCCTTATATTAAACCTCTCTAATAAATAAAGAACAAGAACGAAAATATATTATCAATTTTTTATATTTATTAAACTTTGTTGTTGTAAAAGTTAAACAAAATTCTCCTTCAATGGAAAAACATTGTGTTATATTTGTTTAAAATAAAACAAACAAAATTGAACAATATACAACCACATTATTAAAAACTTTCATTGTAGTTTGTTTGTATTTAAATTTATATTATTATTGAAACCCAAAAAACAAGAACATCAACCTAAAACAGTGACAATAAAACCAATTAAAATATACTAAAAACAATAACATAATATTATTGTCAAGTTGTGTTGTTAAATAAACTACTGCAATTACTATTAAAAAAGATATCACTATAAATATTTTCTTACACTATAAAATATATTAACACGTATTTCAATCTTTATAATATTTAATTTTTGTTTATAATATTCAATTAAAAATGATGAGTATTTCTAAAAACTTTAAAAATTGATTTATTACAAAAACAATTTGCTTTTTGATTTAGTTTAACAATTGAAGTAAAAATAATAATTATTTAAAATAAGTGACTAAAACTTTATAATGTTGTTTTTTTATTAAAAAGGCCCCGTAGCACAGTCGGTAGTGCATCGTACTTATAGAATAGAGATATGCGAGGGTCGCGGGTTCGATCCCCGCCGGGACCATTTTTTATCATCGATATATTAATCTGTTGAAAATCTCAATTCAAAATTCCCTCAACATTTAAATTATAAACAGATAAATAAGAATTATCCTGAACAAATATGATATAAAAGCAGGTCAATATGAAATAATATTTGAGATATAAAAAACTAAAATGGTGAATTGATTAATAAAAATGTCCATTATTTTTGTTTGTAATTATTTAAAACTCGATTATAACTAATTGTGTATCGAGTATCACACAAAATAATCCATTGATTTTGCTTTATCATTGATTCAAAAAATGTGAGATAAAGCGTCGTTATTAAATATTAAAAATAAGAAGCATTTGTGGTCTAAGGGCAGAATTCCACCCTTCCAAGGTGGAGATCCGGGTTCGAGTCCCGGCAAATGCACTTTATTATTATTCAAAATGTCTTTTATTAACAAGAATTGGATAATTACAATAAAAAAGACAACGGCAGGATTTGAACCTACGCCTCAAATGAGAAATGATTTCGAGTCATACGCCTTGGACCACTCGGCCACGTTGTCCTTTTCGAAATTATTTTTCTATTTATTTATTATAATTTATTTTCATGTATTTTTGTTTTTTGAGTAATTAAAGTTGAATAATCAAAAGATGTGATAAAATTGTTTTTCAATTTTTATTAAAATTTTGATTTTTTTTGTTATAAAACCTCGAGTAGCATAATAAAACTTAATTTAATTTGGCAATTTGAATCAGTAAAACATTTTCAATATATTCCAATAAAAAAATAAAATAATTGTAAAATGATTTTAACCATAAAATTAATAAACAGATTGAACTATATTCATTATTCGACCCCTTAAAAATAAAACAATAAACTAATTCAGAATTT